TGTGATATACATGGAATCTTCTGTGTCTGGCTTATTTCACTTAGCATACTGTCTTTAGGACTCATCCACATCGTAGCAGGTGCCAGAACCTCATCACTTTTTGTACCTAATATTCCACTGTACGTATATGCCACATTTTGTGTATTCGTTCATCAGTGGATGGACTTTGGGGTTGTTTCCACTTTTGGCTAGTATGAATAATGCTACTAAGAACATTTGTGTCCAAGTTTTTGTATGAATACGTGTTTTTAGTTCTCTGGGCTCTATACCTAGGGCCAGAATTGCTGAGTCTGACTCTGTGTTACGCTATGCTTAACTTTTTGAGAAACTGTCAAACTGTTTCCCACAGTAGTGGCACCATTTTACATTTCAACCACCTATGTATAGGCGTTCCAGTTCTCCACAGCTTTTCCAAAACTCGTTATTTTCAGCGTTCTTGATGCTAGACATCCTTGGGAGTATGACTCAGTAATTTTTAGAAGTGTAAAGAGTTTTGAGACTAGAAGTTTTGAGAGTTGCTTTTCTGACATAGAGCTTATAAAAATAAACATAATAATGTTGTCAATCTAAAAATTAACAATAATTCCACACAATTGTGCAACCTCAGGGTAATCAAGTTGGCCTGGACAGACCCAATTTACACCTTTGTAGCCTTTAACTTTCAACATGCCCCGTTTAGATGACAGATTATATGAACACCCTAATAATGAGTCAATGTTCAAATTTCTCCCAGTTGCCTTCAGTATGTCTTTTTCCAACGTATTGAGAACAAGATCCGACACTGCATTTGGTTGAGATGTCTTTAAAAACTTTTAATCTCTATCAGTTCTCCCTCGACTCCATTTCTTTCATGCTCGTCATCGATTGAAGAAACCGGGTAATTTGTGGAACTTCCCACATCCTGATTCGACTGATTAAACCATTGTAGTCTCTTTTCATCTGTTTCTTTGTCCTCCATGTTTCTTGCCATTTGGTAGTTAGATCTGGAAGTTTGATTAGATGAAGATTCAATGTTTGTGCAAGAATATTTCGTAGACGCTGTGTACTTCCTATTGCAACAGGAGGCACGTGCTATCTGTCTGTCTCACTCAGTGATGTTAAGATAAATCAGTGGGTTCAGGGTTTTTAGTTTGATTCAGCCAATATAGGTTTCCCACCAACATATTTTAATTTTTATTTTTAAGTAATCTCTATGCCCAAAATGGGGCTTGAACTTACCACCCTGAGATCAAGAGTCCCATGCTCTACCCACTCATTGAGCCAGCCAGGTGCCCCCCACCTCATACTTTTATTTCTTTTAAAGATTTTATTTATCTATTTGTCAGTGAGAGAGAGAGAGAGCGCACAAGCAGGGGGAGCGGCAGGCAGAGGGAAAAGCAGGCTCACCATTGAGCTGAAGGTAGACACACTCAACTCCCTGGGCCAGCCAGGTGCCCCCGACCTCATACTTTTAATAGCTATTGTTGCTTGTCCCAGTGTTTCTTTATGAGTTGTGAGGAGTGACTCTCTAAGTCCAACTGTTCTGTTGCATTTATTTTCCTTACAAACTATTTGGGTATCCTGAAATGATAGCAGAATAAATGCTTGATTTTTTCCCCTTATTTACCAGTTTTCCAAACAAATAGTTCCTTAGACAATACAAGAGTAAACAATGAGGGATTTTAAAAAATATTACTATGCATTCATGGATTTGTATACATTTGATTTGTTTCAATCAATCAGTCATTATTCTTTCTTCAGCCCAAACTGTTCCATCTTTAGCCAAAGGGTGCCCCTTTATCTTTGCTCTTGGGCTCTTTTGACATAACCCCAGTAGTATTTGATAGCCACTTTATTCTGGGGCATAACAAAATGCCACAGGCTCATCTTTACACAATCCCTGCCCCAGTTCTGAAATCAGTCATCTCCTAGAGGGGTCTTTGTTCCTCTTAGTGGGCAATGAATGGCATTTAGATGATCAGTTTGGACACTAGGGGTGCTCACAGGCAATGGATTGCCATTGCTTCTTGGCCTTTTCAGTGGACACAGCTAACATATATGTATTTTGTAGAAAGAGAAAAATTAATTATGACTCATACTACCTTTGCTGATTCAAATTTTCCATTATACAACTTATCCCTAACATCATTGACTTGATACTTGATACTTGATACTTCATCTCTCACTGAAGACCTTGGTATCTAACAATATCAATTCAATTACTTATTTACTATTTTACTTAAACATATAGATGTAAAGTACAAATACATGCAATAGCAGCTAAACAACAATACCAGTATTATTACTAACAAATACTATTAGTAAGTGTAGTTTGATTTCTTTGCCATTCTTTTTTATCCTGAGGATGTGTCACCCTAAGGATATATAGTCAAAATAATGAGTTTTAAAGTCAGTTACTTATTTTTCCAGGTAGTTATGTCAGTAACTCCTGATACACTCTGATTAGTGGCATTTTTTTTTCTTTTGGAAAATGCTTTATTTTCTTTTAAAAAAATAATCATGTAAGCCATTTACATGATTCCAAAGTCAAACTATACAACACAGTATATGAAAATAAGCCTAGTTTCCACTCCCATTCCCTTCACTCTGTTTTTTCCTTATATGTAACCATTTTTGTTAGTTTGTGATTTACAGTTGCATTGCCTCTTCTTGAAAATGTAAGCAAAAGCACACATCTTTGTTAGAAGAAAGGCAATGTATATGTGGTTCCAGCCTTGCTTTTTTCACTCGATGTATCCTGGAGTTCTGTGGCCTTCCACAGAGACGGGCTTCATTCTTTGGTAAAGCTATACAGAACAGCTTTGTGTGGATGTACCCTGGTTTATTCAGCCAGTCTTCTGTGGATAGACTTGTGGGTTCAACAAACATTTACTGCGTTGCTAAATCGTGCCAGGCACTGGGGATAAAGACATGGTCTCTGGCCTCAGGAAACTCAGAGTGAAGAGGGGGAGACCACTGCAATACAAGCGCTTTGCTCACAAGAGAGTGAGATCTTGGATCCACTTAGCACAAAGGGTGCGTGGAACAGGGCAGACAGGCTCACACACAGGAGGGACACAATGACACTCTGTTGATTGGCATCTTGCTCCCACAGGGACCTTAATATGGGAGAATCCCCATGGGAGGAACTCAGTTTTGTTTTGTTTTTTTAATCAATGTTTGAAACTACTTAGAAAATCATGAGTGCCACCAATTGGTCAGAGAAGGCAAGGCCAAATGAAAGAGGCAGAGAGGAAGGGTCCTAATCACAAAACTCCCTCAAAAGAGGAAACGTAAATTAATACGTAAGCTGTGGTTTAACAATTAACGCCGGTAGTGAATTTAACACTCACCAGAGATGGCTCTAAGCTGTTGACACATACTTAACTCCTTTATTTTAAAATAACAATCCTAAGAAGTAGGGACTATCGTGCCTCACATTTTACCGTTAAAGAAATTACGGCACAGAGAGGTTACTGAACTCTTCAAGGGCACACAGCGAGCGAACGAGGAAGGGAGCAAAGAAGCGCAGACGACAGGATACTCGCAAGCAGTGCCCTCTCTCCCGGGTGGGAAAAAAGCACTGTGTCTTCCCGGACCATAATCACCCGCTGCGGAGGAGAAACTACCGTTGACACCTCCCTCCCTACACACAGCCCCCAAGATCGGAAAAACCCTGCAGGGCTCTCTCTGGACTCTTGGGGGGCGCAGGAATCCCGAGGCCCGTAGGCGACCTGCGGGGTGCACGGCGGAGGCCCAGCCGGCCCGCCCCGCAGCGCGGATTTGAGCAGCGGCCGCGAGCTGAGGGGTTGCCCGCCGAGGGTCCCCCTCGGAGCAGCAGCCGAGCCGGCTCTCCGACCCCTCCAGGTGTGCGCCGCCCATTTCTCCGCGCTCCCGCTCACGCCTGGGCAGCAATGAAGGCCGCTTCCCCGGGCTCCTACGACACGGGGGAAGCTACATGCAGCCACGGACGAACTCCCAGGCATCGTTACCCTCCCATGGGGTACCCCATGTCAACTGGACACAATTCTACACTCAGGGAACCCGCAGCGAGGGGACAAGCGGTGCCGACGTAGCATGACACGGGCAAGAACAAGGGGTCGCACTGGGCAGTGGCTCTCCGCCCCGCTCCGCCTCGTCTCGTTTCGTCTGTCGAAACCGAGCCAAAGACAGGTGGTTGTGGGCTGCCCAGCTTGAACCTGCAGATCGCCTCCGCCCGCTGACTCGGGAGCTTGCTCCCGGCGCCGCCTGCGGCCCAGACCCAGTACTGCGGGGGGCTGCCCCGGAGCACAGCGCGCTCACACCCGTGGGCCCGCCTGCAGTGTGACTGCGTCGCCGCGACCGCCCCGCGCCTGGGTGGGGGGTCAGATCGCACAAGCCAAGTCCTCGTCCGACACTGGCACCTAACCTGCAGCAGCCTACGGATATGCGCTTTAAGAAGCCGGCTCCTAGATAAAAAGCTACAACCTGCATCAGACCAGACTCTGAAACTGAAAAAATGGATGCTCACAAACAAACCGGCAAAACCTCTTCCCGCTCCTACAACCTGCAGACGCAACTCAGCCTAGGAATAACCAAAGCCCTAATTCTTTTGAGATATTTAAGTATAAAAGGACCCTCCAAGTTCACGTCAGACGGGTAATGTGCCCACGTCGTAACAAGGTTTGAGGGCGGCACATGTCACACAACGGCGTGAACACCCAATCATCACGCTTATGAACTACAAAAGGATCGTGAGATCGCGGCTGTTAAGGAGTCCCGAGTATGTCCCACTGACTTTAAAGAAAGGGTGACAGACTTGGGCTTTATATATTCAGTCTCACAGTAAAATTGGGTATAATTTTAAAATATCTTCGACATTTTTCTTTTGTTTCTACCTTAATACATGAAAACAAAAACAAAATTAGCGAGCGGATATGTCTATGCAAAATTTTCGCCCAAACTCCTCCTTTGTGGGGAACCTGGTCTCTGTTGCTTTACGACAAGCAGGCCGTGAAACGACGAAGTGTTGCCTGAGTATTGGCGGAAGCTAGCCTTGTGCTTTGCGGCAGCGAGGCGAGCTGCGTCCGGATCCTAGTAGGTACCTCCGTGCTGGAGGGTCTGGAGGCGCCGCCGGTGGTAGTGTTTGTGTGATGCCTTAGGGGTTTATTTCTTAAACTCTTAGGGTTTTTGTTTTTGTTTGTTTGCTTTTAATCTTCAGAAAGGCAAGAATAATTGATCTGTTGGGAGTCTGAGGCTCTGTTACTCCCGGAGAGGCTCCTTTCCCTTTCCTGCATCTTTTCCTTTACGCAGACTTTACTCTTTTGCGGGTGAGACTCGCGCCCCCCCACCTCCACCCCACCCCCCGACGTCTTGCCGTTTTATTTGGTTTTAGCTGCGTTCTCCGGGAGAATGCCAGCCTCCGGGTGATCTTTTTTTCTCTAGTAGATCCGCACCAGCCTCCCATCTCGGCTCCCTGGAGGAGGCCCGCTCATCACTGCCGCAGTCTGAGGAATGGAGCAGCACAGCCCTCGGGAATCCCCATCGCAGGAAGGATCTTCCTTGCCGGGAGAGCGGCCTTCCTCCGCCCTCGGACAGTCTTTCTCCCAGATTTTGCATCGTCTTACCAGCCAGGAGTCCCGACGGGGCAAGGCCAGAAGTGCCGTAGTTCAGGACCTCGGTGCTCTAATAGAAGCCGCAGAATGTGATCAGTTATTTGAGGGTAGTGGCACATCGCCCCGCGGAATGCCAGAGATGCTGGGGCAGGTGGCAAAAGCCCTAGAGGAGTATGCAGCCCCACCCAAGGAGCAGCAAGGTAGAGGTCATGGCCACTCTGAAGTGGCCGAGAAAGCGGCAGCAGTTGGGGTACTGTTTCTTAAACTGTTGGGGAAAATTGAGGCGGCCCAGAATTCCTTGCCTTGTCCTACATGGAAGATAGGCCTGCGTCACTTGGCAGGACCCATCTATATTTTCGCGGTCACACACAGCTTGGAGCAACCATGGACCAGCCCGAGATCCCATGACGTTGCTGGAGAGGTGCTCTCCTTACTCCTCCGAGTTACTCGGTGTGGTTCTGTGGCAGGATTTCTGCACGGAGAAAATGAAGATGAGAAAGGGAGATTTACTGTAATAATGGAGCTCCTCAAACCTGATCTGAATAAGTGAGTATTCTTGTCAAAAGGGCCACTAACTTGAGCTTCAGCCTAACATTTTAGAATATTAGAGCTCAAAGGAACCTGAGTTTCTTCGATGGTAAGATAAAGGTGTTGTGATAATAGCAGATCTCTTAAGGCCCAGGAAGGTTGCAGTTTGCTATAAATGACATTATCAGATATTGGCAAGTTCGACATTAGAGCCCAGGTCGTCAGACTTCCATTCCCTAGTGCTCTTTCCAGTCCTCCTGACAACTGCCCTGGACATTGGAAGGCCTGTCCCATTTATTTACTCTAAAGTTTCTTAAGTTAGGTGACTATGGGGATTTGGAGAGGATTTAAACTTATGATTTGAATTTAAACTTAGGGATCTTGAAACTCATCACTAGTTATTAGATGAGGATGGTTGTTAGATATGAAAGTGGTGTTTGGGATGAAAAAAGCCCTTTAGATTGCTATTAGCTAAAGTATTTTCTGTAAGTTCCACTTGCTACTTTATATGTTACTATTAGTACCACGAGAGTGATGAGAGAAAAATGTGTACATAACTGTCATTTTACCAGGAACTTGGAGTTTTGAAGTAGTCTGGTACTTTTTATTGCTTCTGAGTAGGACCAGGTCAGAGAGCCTTTCTGAACCTGTTGCATTTTTTTTTTTTTTTTGTAATATGAAGATAATATTATCTATTACACAGTTATTTTGAAGGTTGAGTAAAGTGTGTAAGCCCACTTTATAAGCTGTAAATTGCTTTTGTTCAAATATCGATTCACTTGCTCCCTTGTAATACTTATAATAATACTGAAGATATTTCTTTTACTCCTCTCTCCCTTAGCAGATCTTCCCTGTAACCACCCACACCATCACCACAGATTCTTTACAAGCTACTGTTATAAATGGCTCCTTCTCATTGGATAAGCTTTAGACCCAGAGCCCTGGCTGATTCATTGTTAAATGTATTTAGTATCAGATTATTTGTTTTTTGTTCTTTTAGTGCAAGTTCTGCAAGTTATTTTGATCTAAATCTTAAAATGTATAACATCAGGAGTTACGTGTGATGTATTCTTTTCAAGGACAAGAAAATGCTCTGTTTAGCTTGAAGAGGTTGGTTTTCTTTGCTGATTAACACCGTGTCACTTTACTTAATGTGGTTTCACATTTCCGTGTAGGGAATCCTGGAAGAAAAACCCTGCCACCAAACATGTTTTCTCATGGACTCTGCAACAGGTCACCCGACCCTGGCTGAATGAACATCTGGAGAGGGTACTCCCCCCATCACTGCTCATCTCGGATGACTATCAAACTGAGAACAAAACACTTGGTGTGCACTGCCTCCATCACATCGTGCTGAATGTGGTAAGCAGCCTCTGCAGTCGGCCATCTGTGTGGATGGGACAGATTGAGGCATCATGATACCATTTTATTGTTGTCTTTTTTATCTTTTATTAGCTTCCTATTAATGTTGTTATGTGACTAAATTCGCTTATTTATATTTTTTTCTGTATATTTTCCTTCTGCCAGCCTAATAGATTGTACCTCATCGGTAACACCTGGACCATTATCCTGCATGTCAAACTGAATAACCAGACCTTGAGTAATTAACAGTTGACTTTCAAGGAGCAAAAAAAATCAGAAACTAAAAGAGGTTTTATCCAAATATGCAAGCCATTATTATATTACTCAGGAAACTTTTTTTTTTAACTGTGTATTTTGGAGCTTTTAAAATATACACAGAAGTAGAGAGTGGTATAATGAATCCTATGGCATGATAGATTCTGTGTATCCATACTTCAGTTTCAAAAATTACCAACATTGGGTGCCTGGGTGGCTCAGTCGGTTAAGCGTCTGCCTTCGGCTCAGGTCGTGATCTCAGGGTCCTGGGATCGAGTCCTGCACAGGGCTCCCTGCCTCTGCTCCTCCCTGCTGCTTGGGTGCACATGCTCGTGCTCTCGCTCTTTCACAAAAATAAATCTTAAAAAAAAAATCAACATTTTGGCAACCTTGGGAAAATTTTAATTGGGTAATTTGTCTGCTTGCAGCCGGCTGCTGATTTGCTCCAGTATAACAGAGCCCAGGTCCTCTACCATGCCCTTTTCAACCACCTGTACACACCAGAGTACAACCTCATTCAGGTAATTGTAATTTTTGTTTATAACTCTGAATCCCAGTTCTCAAATTTGAGTAGAAGGTGGTATTACGTGAATAAGAATAGTTGAGACATTTTCCTCTTTTGGAAGGTGAGGATGATGACTAAGTTATAGCCAACTTGAAAATAAAGAGGTAGCAAATGACTAGTGAAAATGTCTCAGTACTGAGCAGGCATCCACATTTCTGAGTCTCCACAGAAGAGCCAGTGTTTTGTCTTCATCTGGGTCAATTCTATATCACTTGAGGGCGGCTTTGTCTGAAAAGTTCTATTTTTATTAACTTGTGTCCTTCTCTGCCTCTTTGTATCAACACATACTTGAAACTCTTTGTAAGTTGGGTATTATAGTGCCATTCTTCCTTCCCAAAGACACTGAGTATCTACTGTGTGTGAGTAACCATTGTAAGTTCCAAGAGCGAATGGATCAGACAGGGTTTCTGGCTTTAAGAAACCCTTTGGAAAGACATGTAAATAAATGAGTATTTATACATGTCTGTAGTACAGGGTGATAAATCTATTAAGAAGAGGTTTGTATAGAATGCAGTGGGTGTCCAGCAAAGGGTGGCTAACCAGGTTTGGTGGTGTTGGGATGGTTTTAGGAGGATTTAGGAAGGAGGTGATATTTGAAGGATGAACAGAAGTTTTTTAGGATGGGCAAGAACATTCTGAAGATAGAAGAAACAAGTTATATAAAATCAGAGGTAGAAATAGCCTCTTTTTTTAATGCCTGTCCTCCCTTCCCCTCTCCCCCCAGCCACCTTTCTTTTTAAATATTAAGTATTAAATTGAGAATCCAGGTATTGACAGCCAAAATTTTAGGGCTCCTTAGATGATGGTTTAAAAACAAAACAAAACTAAGAGGAAAAAAAAAATCCCAAGAGAGCTAGAAGGGAGTGCTTAGATACTGAAACTTCACATAGGGTGGTCAGACTGGACACAAATGAGGACCATTGTAGATTCTTTTTTTTTTTTTTTTTAAGATTTTATTTATTTATTTGACAGAGAGCGAGAGAGGGAACACAAGTAGGGGGAGTGGGAGAGGGAGAAGCAGGCTTCCCGCTGAGCAGGGAGCCCGATGTGGGGCTCGATCCCAGAAACCTGGGATCATGACCTGAGCCGAAGGCAGACGCTTAACGACTGAGCCACCCAGGCGCCCCCCATCGTAGATTCTTTGTAGGAGCAGTTTTATTGTATGTGTAACTATCAATTTAATTTAGAAATTTAGTGGCAATAGACTTAGACTCCTATAATTTCGGTTAAAGTCCCAGCTGTGCCCATAAGGTCCCATTTCATAGCTTAGCAAAGAACAGTCTGGAAGAGGAGGTGTTAGGGGCGCCTGGATGGCTCAGTCGTTAAGCATCTGCCTTCGGCTCAGGTCATGATCCCAGGGTCCTGGGATCGAGCCCCACACATCGGGCTCCCTGCTCAGCGGCAGGCCTGCTTCTCCCTCTCCCACTCCCCCCTGCTTGGGTGTTAACTTGTTTGGAGATGATGTAAAACAAGCTTGAAAATATAAAGTAATATACACTTCATGTATTACTGGTATCTTTCAGAATTCTATCACACGGACGCCAAGGATAGATTAATGAAGTTGCTAGACCAGTCAGTGAATGTGAATGCAAACGGACGAACAGTTCTATTACTTCCTCCTAGGCTGTGCTCCTGTGTCTGCTGGATTTATTCCCTGTCCTTGAGAAAGGCCTGCACTGGAAGGGAGGTGCTGCTCGACCCACCACGCACTGTGATGAGGTACTGCAGTTGATCCTGACCCACATGGAGCCGGAGCACCGCCTTCTCTTACGCAGGACCTACGCGAGAAACCTCCCAGCGTTTGTGAAGAGGCAAGTGCCTGGGCTGCTGGTCCGGCCTACTCTTCATCTCCTTGGTGCCACATTTTCTCTTTCCTTTTTAGGTTGGGGATTCTAACTGTCCGGCACTTAAAGAGGCTGGAGCGAGTCATCATTGGTTATCTGGAGGTTTATGATGGACCAGAGGAGGAGGCTAGATTGAAGATACTGGAAACTCTAAAACTTCTCATGCAGTATGCATGGCCCAGGTAAAACAGCCAAGCAGGCAGGTGTGCCAAGAGGGGCAGAACTCAGCCAGTATTCTCTTCAGAAATTGCCCAGGTGTACTTTCAGTACAAAGTATTAAGGACATGCTTTATATTTGAATATCTCCATTTTTACATTTCTATTGGATATTGAACTGCGGAAGTCACATTGAAAAGATAAAATATACCCATTGTTACTGCAGGGATCTCTCTCTCTAGGTTTATAATGTATATTAGAATTTCAAAGGCTATTTAGAAGTGATACAATGCTTAACTTTGTTCACCCCAAAGTTTTTTAAATCTAATTGAGAACAGAGAACTTCTTAACACACTACTTGAACATCTGCAGAGCAGTGACCAGGAGAATACTAATTGAAGATATGATTGCTTAGAAAGCATTCCAACTCTGGCTGGAGGTTGGTGTCAGGAACAATAAACTGGAACCCAGACATGTTTTGTCAGCAAATACTTTCTTGCATGGACAACAAAGTTTAATTCACCGAGGAGTCCAGTGCTCCAAAAACATCTCTATCTGTTCTGAACCATAATACTCTTAATTTCCTTAGAAGGTTCCCAAAGTCTTTACCCTTAGTTATGTCTGTTACTGGACTGTCTTTGTTTACTTCCGGTCTTTTTTCCCTACTGAACTGTAAGCCCACTCTAGGATACTGAGTATACAAGTTTTCTCAGTACTTGGTTATTACATACACAAATATTAGAAGAATGAACGGACTAGAACAGACTGAATGGATGGCAGGCCCAAGTAGGAAGGTTAGAAAAGGAAAGCCTGTATGGAAGGAGTGGGGCTGGGAAGTGGGAAACAGCAGGTTTTATGTTGATGACAGGTAGGAAAGCTGAGCAGCAAACAACGTAGGAAACAGGCTTAATATTTACTAAATCGAGGGATGCAAACTTTTATTCTTCCAGTCACATTTCTGCCCAGAAATATGGTTTAGTATGCATATTTTCCCACTACAAATTATTTTTCAGCTCTGATTAAGGTTTTTTAAGGTTTTTTTATTATATAAAAAAAAAAAGTACCGGGGCGCCTGGGTGGCTCAGTTGTTAAGCGTCTGCCTTCGGCTCAGGTCATGATCCCAGGCTCCTGGGATCGAGCTCCACATCGGGCTCCCTGCTCTGCGGGAAGCCTGCTTCTCCCTCTCCCACTCCCCCTGCTTGTGTTCCCTCTCTTGCTGTGTCTGTCAAATAAAATCTTCAAAAAAAAAAAAAGTACATACAATTTACCATTTAAAAGTGGACTCAGTGACATTAAGTACCTTCACAGTTTTGTACAACCATCACCACTATCCTTTTCCAGATCTTTTTTTTTGTCAAGATAAAAACTTTCAGAAAGGCTAATAAGTTGAAGTAAATAGGCTGGGCTTAACTGATGGTAAGCTAGGATCTGGAACTAAAGGACAGGAAATTCTAATTGACAGTGAGGTCCCCGAAAACAAGTTTCTTTCTCTCACTTTAATTTCCAGGCCCAATGCCAGGGTGGCTCAGTCGTTAAGTGTCAGCCTTCAGCTCAGGTCATTGATCCCAGGGTCCTGGGATCGAGCCCCACACATCGGGCTCCCTGCTCAGTGGGAAGCCTGCTTCTCCCTCTCCCACTCCCCCTGCTCTCGCTATCTCTGTCAAATAAATAAATAAAATCTTTAAAAAAAATTTCCAGGCCCAGGACTACATAAAAGTTAAAAGTATTGTGGACCATTTCCTCTTCTCTGGCCTAAAGTCTAAGCCCCTGGTAAGGGGAGATCCCAGTTCTTCCTTTTCAGGAGGGATTATTTCCTTACAGTAGAACCAAGCTTCTGGAAGGGAGCAAGGTATTTAGGCCAGAGTGTGTATATGGGTACACACTATGCTGCAGAGAAAAAGGGGCTCGCAGTTAAGAAATCTGGTGTCTGGTCTCTAGTTCTGCTTCTAGCACTTTCGTTCCTTCCTTTAGGAAATGAGGGCTTTACAACTTAGATGGCCTTTGAAATCTGTTTTAATATCCTGATTTAGAGTATGAACATAACTTTTTCTTCTTGATTCCAGAGTTTCCTGTAGACTTGTGGTCTTACTGAAGGCTCTCCTGAAACTGATATGCGATGTAGCAAGGGATCCAAACCTTACACCCGAGCCTGTTAAGAACACCTTATTAGAGGAAGCCACAGATTGCTTGATTCTCCTGGACCACTGTTCTCAAGGACAGGTGAAGGTAATAGAGTCTGTAACCTGGTCCTTAAGTAATTCCTATGACTGATAATTACTGTTCACATGCCTGACCAAGTTTGTAAATGAACATGGAGGGTTCAGGTTCCCACCTTGGAGACCGCTGGCCTTCAACAGAGGTTGATTATTTTTCTTTTAAAGCTCTTCAGAATTTAGACCAAAGGTAACGTCTCTGGGGTGAGGACAGAAAATGCACAAAAGATTAAGAGTTTGTAAAACTTAAGTTCTGTTTTAGTCATCTGAATTTTTTTTTAAATGGTGAAATAATGAGCTATAAACCACCAAGGAGTAATAATATAAGTAGAGTGATTCAGATCGATCCCAGAAATGTTTCCAGTTTTTCCAGGGCAACTGTATTTTTCCATATCCACATGGGAGTTCTTCCTTTAGTTTCATATTCCACAAAAGTTAACTTCTCAAAGCCAAAGCATATAATAGCTATGTGTGTATATTTATATATATTTAATAAACTATTGCCTCATTTCTTCCATTTAGAAATCTTCAATTTAAATTTATAAAGCAGCGTGAAAAGAAATTCATATCCTAAAAGTATTTAGAAATACTGTAGTTTGTTATCAGCTTATTCAAATTACTTTGTGTTGGCTCTTTCATCTCAGGCAGTTTTCGAGCCCCTGGATCCAATCTGATTTGCATTGGCTGGTATTAACTCGCTTCTTCCTGAGCCAGCAGGACCCTTCCATGTACACCAACACTGTTTTTAACGTTAACATCTGTTCCACAAACTGCTGTCTAGTCTTGTCTGTTCATCCTTTCTTTGAGTATGGTACCAAGAAAGAAGAACCAAGGTAAAAGGAAAAGAAATATCAATTAAAAAAAAAAATCAAAGCCGATTTGGTTTCATGTTTCAGGGTCTCCTGGTCAAAATTCTCCAAAGCTGTGAAGACAGCAAGGTGGTGAACTGTATCAGAAAAGTGCAGCAGGTGTCTGAAGGCGCGTCCTGCGATGGAACTTAAATTTGTCTTTCCTACAGCAGGAAGGCTTCTTGGTCCAACTGTGTAAATGGAATTGTTTAAGAAAAAAGGTATTTTCACACTAAACATTATAACTTAGACCTTCTTTGTCCTTCTTTTATTCCCACAGAAGTAGGGAAAAGAGAACAAGAAAAAAAATGAAGTCTGGACATTTCTAAATAAAGTTGGGGGGTGGGGGGGCGGACGCCAAGGAAACGGGTGGATAGCATTTAAAATTTAGAAATATTTACACCCACAAATTCATCTGTTAAGCTTCTTGGGCTCAAGCTGTTACTTCAAAGCATATGCCAACACTATAAAAATACTCTGTTCACAACTTAAAGCTTCCTCCGCTCCCTCCCAGATTTTGTGCCCCACAGAAGTAGCATAAATATTAAAAACACAAATATTGTGTTAAGTACCATATGAAAGAGCAAAAACTGGAGGTGTGCACGCTTATGGTAAAAGAAAGGAGGATGTTGAAAGTGTTCAGTCCTATTTATACATGTCCGAAGAAAAGTCACGTTGTTTTGGCCTTGGCCACAGGCTCTGTCTCCTGCTCATACTCTATCTCCACATAGGCTCGTTTTCTCCGCAAGGGTCCTTTCAAGGGTGTTTTGCCTTTATGTCTGGTATCAAGGGCCTTTTCTTCTTCCTCGATGGAGGATTTATCATCCTGATCTTCATCACTGCTGGCATCCAGTTTATCCATATCCTGATACAGAGAGGAAAAGAAAAGAGAAAATTCATCTCCTAAACTCCTTTCATTGTACTCTCAATTTAGACCCAGAGAATTTATCTGCCGGTGTGTTCAGAAACCTTCTTTTCCCTGAAGGCCCAAAATCTCACCTCAAAATCACTTATGTCACTCTCATCCACCTCATCATCTTCCACAAACTCTCTCTTCCCCACATCCTAAAAAAACACAGAGCTGTTAAGTTCAAAATACAGAATGAAAATTCAGCTTACACATCTAGTTTTATTCTCTGATAAGTGCATAAATAACAAACAGATTCACAGTCTACTTACTAGGCTCAACCAAAATCTACTTATTTCCAAGTTTAATACTTCTGATTTAAAAACATTTCAGGGATATCAATTCTCATGCCTAATATAAATCATCAGAGGTAAAACATCCTCATTTTAATTTGTTAAAAAAAATCAGTATATAGGTAGGGCTTTACAAACAATTCTGTACATTTAATTAAACCTATTAATTTCAAATATCAAAAAAGGGTTACTACTAGGAAAAGTACACCTATGGGGACGCCTGGGTGGCTCGGTTGTTAAGCATCTACCTTCAGCTCAGGTCATGATACTAGGGTCCTGGGATCTAGCCCCACATCGGGCTCCCTGCTCAGCAGGAAGCCTGCTTCTCCCTCTCCCACTCCCCCTGCTTGTGTTCCCTCTCTTGCTGTCTCTCTGTCAAATACATAAAATCTTAAAAAAAAAAAAAAAGTACACCTATGTGCCTATTTGAGTGTACCATGTGATTAAGCAACTACTTGGTAAATCTGGCCTTTTCCTAAAAATACAATCATTCCAGTACCTCCCCTATATTAATAGTGAAATTAAATCCTGTATAAATTTCAGTAGGTTCCTTAATGGTATATTCTATCAGCTAATAATGAGGATTCTTCATTTGTCCCCTTGCAGGAAAAATTTTAGAATACCAATAAGTAAGATTAAAATTGTCAATGTGTAGTTTGTTGGCTGAACTAAAATTAACCTCATGATAGAAAAAAATGACCAAAGAATTATTTTTGGTTAGGGGAATGAAAATGATATTCTCTCAAGTACACGTAAAGAGATCTAGTTCTACAGATTACTGCTTGATGAAGCAAAAACAAACAAACAAGGCTTACTTCTTCATCTTCGTCATCTTTTTCCTCAGAATCTGAAGAGTCACTCTCTGCCTCCTGCTGTTCCAGGGCCTTGTCGAAGGCATGAATGGGGAAGTTGTAGATGTCGCCATACTGAAGGACAGAAACACACACCGGCTTTAATGACATCTCAATTTTACACTTGAAGTCCACTGTCCAATAAGCATATTCCTCAGTGATTAAATGAGAATACTTAATTCGATAAGTAGTAATATTTCTGTATTAATTTCAAGCCTAGAACCGACAATGTCTTTAAAAGCACATTTTAAATAATCAGTGGTTAAAATCAAACAGGTAACTTCCATGAAGAATGGAAGCACATCACTTAAAACTTAGTAGTGTATAAAACCCATGGGTTGGAACAAACGTAAATTTGCTGACAGGAAGGAAATGATAAGGAAAAAGTAAAGTTTTATTCATCTGTCTTTTAAATGACACTAATTTTTAAAAAGAGAATTAAAAACTCATTTTGAAGAACCTTAGAAGACTAGGGTAATATGCAGGAGGATCAAAACTGCATGCCTTTTATACAGAGATCTGGAACTAAAATGGAGAAGCCAAGGCCTATATATTTGTTTTATTCCAGGAACAAAATCAAAGTGAAGCTCTTTCCAGCATCTTTGAAAATAAAACACATTTCCCCACTATTTCCTAGCATGATATTATTGGTCTAAAAAATAAAATTTACATCCCAAAGTTCCTGGCTTTCTCACCGTATCTTGTTTCAGTCTCTCTAGCAATTCCTTTTCAATAGCATTATCCAGCTGAGCAGCTATTAATGCCTTTTCCTGTAATAGAAAAATTTGAGTTAACCCATTTACTTCATTAATACTCATTTTCAGCCTGTAGAAGTGGAAGAAACCAAGTTTTTATTAAAAAAAAAAAAAAAATCACTTTTTTCCCCCTCTTGCTATCACTGGGACTCATGCCTCTCCAGCCAGATATATTCCTGCTTTCAAACTTTGGGAACCTTTTAAATTTAAAAATTCCAATGGTTTTATAAATAGCATTTTAAATTAAATTCTAATGAAGCCTTTCATAGATACACAAAGCATGTAGGTCTATATACATTTAAGTGTCTTAGAAAATGAACAATCCTGGGGTGCCTGGGTGGCTCAGTCAGTAAAGCATCTGCCTTCGGCTCAGGTCATGATCCCAGGGTCCTGGGATTGAACCCCGCATCGGGCTCCCTGCTCAGTGGGGGGATCTGCTGCTCCCTCTCCTGCTCCCCCTGCTTTTGCGCCCTGTCAAATAAATAAATCTTTAAAAAAAACCACAAGAAAACGACCAATCCTGAAACAGATTTTGTAAAAGCTGAGAAAGGGAAATCGAGACTTTGACTCCTACTTTTTCTAAAACCATGTTAGATTCCATGTGACAGAAAAATAGATTAAAAATCTCTTCTTCCAGTGATCGCATCAAAAACGATAATGATACATGGTATCAAACTACCACCCACAACCAAAACATAAAAATCTAACCTCAATCTATCTTTCTCGCCTAAGACTGCATTAATTTAATAGTAAAGATCATAAAATTTTAAAGTCTTACTGGGGCACATGAGCAGTTAAAAGGCTATCGTGATGTTCTGTACTGTTTTCTAAAGTGGGTGCTCACACCTCAAGGGCGATCCACTGAGATGCAGGCAGAAAATAGTCAAAACTGCTTGTATGTATTTTTTCTTTAAAAATTAAGTTATATTTTTTTATGCATAATAACACTGGTACCTTAACTCTAGCCATAAAGCAAATAGCTGTGTGTCCGATACAGTGAGGAAGATAACCTGGGGGAAAAATACTGTCCAGAGTCTGAAAGTGGGGATCTCACTACTTTATTCACATGATTACAGCATACAGCAGTTGATGTTTGCTTAAGTGGGTTTATAGATACTGAATACTTTGCAATACCACAGGCAGAGTTATAAAGGTATACTATTTAATTGTTTAGTACTTAAAAAGAGTTGTACAACTTAAAAGAATTATGCATTCTTCACAAAAAGAAAAATGTTCCGAATTTTTCAGGATGACAAATGACTGTAATATGTAACAACAGAAGCTTTAAAAAATACACTTACTCCATTCTTTCAAGAGAAAAGCAATATTTTAACAGTGAGTTTAAAATGTTTTTAAACTTGTTCTGTGGATAGAACATTTGAAAAAGGAAAGTGATAACATTTATAAGTGACATTGTGAAAACATATGTCTCCCATAAATCACACACTCAAACAATCTGGAAACATAATTTTCCAGCTGATTTAAAAATCTTCCAAATCGACATTTTTCAGAAGGCTTCAAACTTATTTGGTAAAATCAGAACAACTTAATTTCCTCTGAAAGGCTTGCAAGAACACCTGTTTAGCAATCCGGGAAGAAACAAACTCACTAGCTAGATCTGAATAAAAACCTCTGCAAAACTGCTGATGAAGAATGAAAAATGCAGAGCCAGTACTTAATGTAAACTATCAACGATTCACTTCTTGATGTGTCTCTGAGGTACCTATCAGTTATGAGAGCCCTTAAAAACAAATTTCTTCTCCGCAAAGAACCAGACCTTCATTTCACTAGATCAGTAATAGGTATGTTAATTATAACATACCTATTAGTGAAAGTATACATGTATAATAACATTTATAAATAATATACCAGGGAGCATATGTTCAAAAATTTCTCTGGTGAGAAATCAAAACAGTTTGGAGACCAATGCTATAACAGATTTGAAGTCCAAAACTCTGTATGAGTGATAGGAACAAAAGCACCAAATTATTAAAGTGATTTCTTGATAGAATATGACAAATGATCAGGGAAATGTCTGTTGGTAGAGGGGAAGTATGCAGAGCAAATACCCAGAATAACTGAAAATTTGAACTTGTGAGGAAAAGCTAATTCCTAGGTCTTGAAAAGCAGAAGAAAAGTCAACTTGAATGAGGTACCAGTGAGGTGGACAGGCAGACTGCTCTCTGCAAGAAAGGCTGGCATTTCCTGACTAGATTTTCCATGGATAGCATGGTATTACCATCACTATTCATTAATCTGGTAACAAAGCTGTGCAGTTTACTTCAAAGAAACCAATAATCCCAATCAATTCCTTATAACTAATTTCAAAATCCAAAAAACTCAATTTAGTGGCGTAATATGACCTGAACTGACATAAGGCTCCTTAAAAAGTTTTTTGAAATTCCATCTAGTGTGAACCTTCTTATATTTCACTGCAGAGCTACTAGTGTATCTGATTAGAATGCTCAAACCCTGGGGACCCAAATAAACAAAATTACTAATGAAAGAGGAGAAATAACAACCAACACCATAGAAATACAAACAATGTAACAGAGTATTGTAAAAACCTATATGCCAACATTTGGACAGCTTAGTATGAAATGGATAAATTTCTAGAAATCTATAACCCACCATAACTAAAACAGGAAGAAACAGAAAATTTGAACAGACCAATTAGCCAGCAATGAAATGGAATCAATAATCAAAATGCTCCCCAAAAACAAAAGGCCAAGACCAGATGGCTTCATAGGCAAATTCTCCCGAACATTTAAAGAAGAGTTAATACCCATTCTTCTCAAACTATTCCAAAAAACACAAGAGGAAGGAAAACTTCTAAATTCATTCTATGAGGCCAGTATTACCTTGATACCAAAACCAAAGACACTACCAAAAAAGAGAACTACAGGCCAATATCTCTCATGAATTCAAATGCAAAAATCCTCAACAAGATATTAGCAAACCGAATCCAACAATATATTAAAAAAATCATATACCATGATCAAGTGGGATTTATTTCCAGGATGCAAGCGTGGTTCAAAATTCACAAAACAATCAACGTGATATATTACACCATTCAGAGAAAGGATAAAGACCACAGGATCATTTCAACAGATGCAGAAAAAGCATTTGCCAAACATCCGTTCTTGATAAAAACTCTCTGCAAGGTAGGTCTAGAGGGGACATATCTCAACATAATACAGTCCTTATATGAAAAACCTACAGCCAAAATCATCCTCAGTGGGGAAAGACAGAGCTTTTCCCCTAAGGTCAGGAACAAGGCGGGGATGTCCACTCTCACCACTTTTATTCAACATGGTACTGGAAGTCCTAGCCATAGCAGTTAGACAACACAAAGAAATAAAAGGCATCCAAATTGGTAAGGAAGACGTAAAATGTTCACTGTATGCAGATGACATGATACTATAAATAGAAAACCCTAGAGACTCCACCAGAAAACTGCTAGAACTGATAAATGAATGCAGTAAAGTCGCAGGATACAAAATCAGTGTACAGAAATCTGTTTCATTCCTACACACTAATAATGAAGCAGCAGAAAGTGAAATAAAACAATCCCATTTACAACTGCATGAAAAACAATAAAATATCTAAGGATAAACTTAACCCAAGAGGTGAAAGACCTGTATTTTGTAAACAGTGATGAAAGAAATTCAAAAGGATGCAAAGAAACGGGAAGACATTCCATTCCATGCTCGTGGGATGGAAGAGCAAATACTGAATGTCCATAGTACCCAAAGCAATCTACACATTAAATGCAATCTCTATCAAAATACCATCAACATTTTTCACAGAAGTAAAACAAACAATCCTAAAATCTGTATGGAACCACAAAAAACCTCGAATAGGCAAAGCAATCTTGAAAAAGAAAAACAAAAATGGAGGTGTCCCAAGTCCAGATTTCAAGTTATATTACAAAGCTGTAGTAATTAAAACAGAATGGTACGGGCATAAAAATAGACACATAAATCAATGGAACAGAACAGAAAACCCAGAAATAAACTCACAATTACACTGTCAATCTTTGACAAAGGAGGGATGAATATACAATGGGAAAAAGACAGTCTCTTCAACAATAGTATTGGGAAAACTGGACAACCACAGGCAAAAGAATGAAATTGGACCACTTTCTTTCACCATACACAAAAATAAACTCAAAATGGATTAAAGAGCTAAATATGAGACCCAAAACCATAAAAATCATTGAAGAGAGCACAGGGGGTAATCTCTCTGACATCTGCCATAAGCAACATTTTTCTAGTTATGTCTCCTAAGACAAGGGAAATAAAGGCAAAAATAAACTATTGAGACTGTATCAAAATGAAGTTTCTGTACAGCAAAGGAAACAATCAACAGAACTAAAAGGCAACCTACTGAATGGGAGAAAATATTTACAAATGATATAGCTGACAAA